GAGGGGGGAACGGGACGGTATAACTATCCTTTATGGGTGTTCGTGCGTGCGTTTATTTGTGTGTTTTTTATGTGTATATAAAAATGTGTCGAACTGAAAATTTTCGGGCAAAAAAATATGACCCTTCCCCCTTAATCTCGCCCACCCAGGTATGCCCGTGCTATCAAACATTATATACATTCATGCTTATCTAATGTGGAATACATAGGTGATAGTACGGTTCGAGACATTTACAGCCCGTAAAACACCCCGTAGACCTCATCGAACTAAGATAATCCAAAGACGCTAATGCGTCAAAGACAGTGAGAGACTGTCTCCATGCGTTTTGTCGCATTCTAAATGCGGCCACCATGACCGTCGTCGTCGTCGTCGTCGTCGTCGTTGTTGTTGTTGTTGTTGTTGTTGTTGTGTTGTTGTTGTTGTTGTTGTTGTTGTTGTTGTTGTTGTTGTTGTTGTTGTTGTTGGCATATCGTAACTCAGGTCTTGCCCTGGGAGTGCTATACGGCGAATGGTAGCAGGAGGGATGGGACAGAAAGTCGTCCGCCGCAGTGATACAGTGGTTAGGAAGCTCGGCCTGTGACTCTAAAAGTCGTGGGTTCGATTCCGGTATCGGTGGTAGCATTCGTATGGAGGTCGAAAAGCTAGATGACCGTATACTGTACGATGCAATGCGAGTGCTCGTGAAAGAAAACCAGTTGGTCTATATTGCCGGAGTCCCTCCATTACAATGTGCCTCGTAATGACATTCATAAAAGAAATAAGTTATAATTTAAGGGCTCCTTTTTTTCCTTTTCAAACACAATATTGTTAGGAACTAACCGATTGACAATGATGCCAGTTGGCTATAAAACGTTGACATCATTGTCAGTCGGTTCCGACAAATTTCATTAGTTTATCGCGGTTTTGGCATTTTAAAGCCCCAGAAAACAAATAACTACCATTTCATCCCGTTTTAGTAGAAGCTTATCGATGCTATAGACTAATTTCATGGTTCATGTAGACTGTCCATAGGTGATCTAAGAACCTCCGGCATAACAAGAAAACATCTGCGCAATAACCAACCATGCGCCTCCGTCTATACAGAATGCACAGATATATTGCATAGGCTTATCGACAACGAAAAAAAAAAGGAGTCTATATTACATTTTATAGATGTTATATTGATTACACGTCTACTCCTAACGAACAAAAATTACGAACAATAAATATGTACTCATCTTAGACAGCGTAAAAAGCCGGAAAGAAGGACGCGATGTCCATATGACGATTTATGAATGTTATATGAATAAACGTCAAGCCTCAACAAACGAAAAAATGTCTACGAGAAAATGATAATTATTTATTCAAAATACCTTACAGGCCCACTGAAGGGCATTGAGTAAGGGGACATCAGTATACAAACAAAATAACAAAAAAGGGGAAAGCAGACGAAAATATATCTATGAAAAGATTACAAAAATCAAGGTGCAAGAGCGTTATACAATATTAGAGTGCAACGAAATCAGGTTATCACGAAATGTTTCACGGTTAGAAATGGACACAACATGATCCGGAAGATCGTTCCAATATGAACTACTATACACTTCGTGAAAAAACCGGAAAGCACGAAGCGAAGTGCATATGACATTCTATAGATGCTATATAGATTAAAGGCTCCCCTAAAAAAAAAGAAAAAGAAATTCAATCAGAAACTGATATAAAAAACTTTTATACACTTCGTGAAAAAGCGAAAAGCGAAGTATATATAACCTTCTATAGATGCTATAGAGATTAAACGCTCCCTCGTAAAAAAAGAAACGAAATTCAATGAAAAACTGATAGAAACTACTCTTATAGACGACGTCAAAAAACCGGAAAGGACAAAGCGATTCTCATATGACAGTCTATAGATGCCATATAGATTAAACGCTCAGTCACAAAGTAGAAAAGAAACTCCACGAGAAATAGTAATAAAATACTCTTATAGACCGCGTGAAAAACAGGAAAGGGGAAAGCGATGCTCAGATGCTTATATAAGAATGCATAGATGCCATATAGATTAAACGCTCAGTCTCAAAGTAGAAAAGAAACTCCACGAGAAATAGTAATAAAATACTCTTATAGACCACGTGAAAAACCAGAAAGGGGAAAGCGATGCTCAGATGCTCATATGAGAATCCATAGATGCCATATAGATTAAACACTCAGTCACAAAGTAGAAAAGAAATTCTGCGAGAAATCGATATAGACTACTATCGCGTGAAAAACACGAAAGTGGAGACAGCGACTTGAGTGGCGTTCCCTGGCGTTGCGAAGCCGGTATGCAGCAGCTTCCGTCATGCTTCGCATATTTCTCGACGACAGATCGTGGTGTCGCCGGCAGCTCGCTATGCGCGGGGAATAAATGCCGGCATAATTTTGCAATTCGTATTGCTCGCAGCGATTCAAACGGTTGAAGAAAAAAAAAAGAATAAACGAAAGAAATGTACAGAGACACGATTCGAATGCAGGGTGCATTATGGGAGCGCCTGGCACGAGTGGAGGCGATGTGAAAGAGAGATGCGCTTCCACGCAAACGCTGTTTCAAAAAGAAGTAAAAACACGGTAAACGAGCGAGAAAAAAGGCGACACTATACGCAGAAGAAGAATGGGGAAGATAAAGACCAGGTTGACAGGACGTAATTCACGGTTTAAAGTATGTCTCTGCGAAAGATATCGGGGGGGCTGTGGGGTGGAGATGGAGGGAAAGAAAGAGAGAGAGAAAATGTACCAGCCCTCGATTGTGAATGATTAACCACTTTGAATTCTCGCCTTGAAGAAAGATGCGGGGAGGGGGGAGGGGGGGAGAGCGAGAAATCGTGTTACGCTTCAGGTGCTGGCTTGAATTTGCGGGTGCGGTTTTCTTTTTGTTTTGTTTGTTTGTTTTCTGGGAAGTTGAATGCCGGCTCGCCCATTGGGCGCGCCACGATATGTGTTTTTCCAGGAGGTAACGACACCACAAAGGCGCTCTGGTGGTGAATACTCACAGAAGAAAGAAAGAAAGAAAGAAAGAGAGAAAGAAAGAAAGAAAGAAAGAAAGAAAGAAATCGACGGAAGAATCCGGATGGTCTGAAAAGATGTGGTTAAGTAACGCAATATGTTTTCGCGGTATAGCGCTCTGCATTAAGTTAGGATCGGTGGGTCTTTCTTTCTTTCTTTCTTTCTTTCTTTCTTTCTTTCTTTCTTTCTTTCTTTCTCTCTCTCTTTCTTCCTTCGAGTGATATAAAAGAATTCATAAAAAATAAAGAAAATATAAAAAAGATAGGAGTCTAGTTAAAAGCTTGGCTGCTGAGAATAATGTTTAAGGCGCAGTGCTACTTAGACATAGAGAATTTCGAAAGCTACTTGTATACTGAGAGAGAGAGAGAGAGAAAGAGAGAGAGAGATATTCGAACTGGAATGCACGGGGTTAGCGACATGAAGGCGATGTTTTCGCCTAGAATTTGTATGATTCATCACTCTCTCGAACTTCCTAACTTGTGCCCATGCTAGTTTTAAACTCCGAATTTGTTTTCACATCGTCGCAAATAACGCCTGTTTGCAGTGGTTACATTAAAGTGCATTCTAAACCCGTGATAAAGTGTTTAATCCTTCCGGGACAGAATATGTAAACACCCCAGGAATGTTTTCAGAAGGCTAAAAGGTCACAAACCGCAGGCAGACCATATCGCATTTGCGGCGAGATTGCGTGCGACGTACGACTGCGTAAGTGATGAGTGGTATACGCAAGAGAAACGTGAAATGCGCGGGTCGGGGCACTCAGATAAAGACTTGTTGAACTCCAGAAAGTCTTCGCACGTTTGAGAAAAAAAATATACTGAGCAGCGAATCTCCGCGTCCCCCTTCTCTTGCAACTATACTTCCTGTTCATTGGTTAACTTCTATATGTTATCCCGTTCACGTTGATTATGTTCCCAGCAAAGACTGGAATAAGTTCAGTTTTTTTTTTTTAAAGAGGGCGGGATATAATGTGGCGAGGAAAGGCGGTCGTCTACGCTCGTTGTAGAGAGTACGGATCAGTCACGCAAATATGGTAGTCGCGACAGTCACCCAGTCCTCTTTAAAAAAGGGTATCGCGAAGCAGATTCGTCTGCAGACGACTGTGCTGATCTTACTGGTAGCGGCGATTCTGAAGACGATCTCAGATCCGCAGAGCTTATCTTAAACATGTGTGGATTGGAAGTCCGGCTGGCAGTCAGCGTCTTTTGTCCCCACGGTAGCCAAGACTCTCCTATGAGGTCTCCATCAATGTCATCTGTAGTCGCCTTGTCTGCAGATGGCCCGTTAACGTATATGCATTCCGCTGTGGTTATAGAAATAATTCTCTATTAAGCCGAATGCCATGTATGGCTGAACGGCTGCAGAAGCCCGAGGTTAAATAAATGCACATTAACGTGAACCAAGTCAATCAAGAGTGATTTATGAGCGTCTGGCAAAACTTCTACGCTTTGACCTGTGATCTCCTTAGCCCTGAACTAAAATTGATTGATTGATTGATATGTGGGGTTTAACGTCCCAAAACCACTGATGATTATCAGAGACGCCGTTGTGGAGGGCTCCGGAAATTTCGACCACCTGGGGTTCTTTAACGTGCACCCAAATGTGAGCACACGGGCCTACAACATTTCCGCCTCCATCGGAAATGCAGCCGCCGCAACCGGGAATCGAACCCGCGCCCTGCGGGTCAGCAGCCGAGTACCTTAGCCACTAGACCACCGCGGCGGGGCGCTGAACTAAAATTAACAGCACCAACACAGAACACGCCACACAGAGGAAAGAAACGGCACGTGTTGTGCTTCTTTTCTCTCTGGGGCGTGTTCTGTGTTGGCGCTGCTAATTTTGACTCAGGAACGTGTACCAACTAAGCCAAAATCAACTTTTTAAATCTCTTTTGTGTTAACGGAGGACCAGCTTTCTTTTATTATCTGGAATATTACAAATGGTTCCAGCCTGCCAGGTTGTACGTATAGTGTCTCACTCACCGGCGTAGCTGTCCGGTATGACGAGTGGTGGTCCCGTGGTGCTGAGGCCCGAGCTGCGCGCGTCGGGCGCCAGGGAGCGCGCGTGCACCTTGCGACATCTGTAGGCGCCGTACAGCACCAGCGGTTGGCTCAGGTCCAGGCTGGAGGGCGAGTGGACGCGCTCCGCGATGCGCACCACCTGCGGCAGCGGCACCCGGCGCACAAACTCCCGCGGAGGCAGACCCGGCTGCCAGCTGCCGCCGCTACGCGGCGAGCCGTCCGTGTTCTTCGAGCTCAGAGACATGGCGGCGCCGCCGGCGACCGTAGCGACAACGGCGGGTCGACGGCGGTGGTGGGTAAGGTTGTGGCTGCACTGGAGAGGAGGCGAGGACCGACGGGACGCAACAGCCTGCGAATGTGGGCAAGGAAGGAGTACAGTTAGGTAAATTAAGACATAGAAAAACTAAATAAATTGGACAGGCGGCCACTATCATTAACGTTACACTTTTAGCCGGGTCCCGCTTAATGTGCTAAATATAGCCAGGAAGTCGGACGTCTTTCGTCTGGGGTTTCCTGGATATAGCCAGCATTTAACCAGGGCCCGATTAAAAAGTGTATAGTAGCACGGTAAGCAGGAACAGCGTAGATTCCAAGGTTGGGCCACATTGTCCATTCCGCAAAGTATACGCGCGTATTACACTTAAAGTCTTTGGTGCCGCGGGGCATTATGGTACTAAAGTAGTGGACTTGCGTCATTCGCCAGTATGACTGCATCACTGGCGTAGCACGAAGAAAGGGGTCCTTCATATAGCCCCCCCCCCTTTCCTAGAGCTTGAGAATTTTCAAGTTTGCATGCGTATATACAAACAAAAGCGTGCAATCACACAATCTGGAACGTAACATAACATACATGCGTATATATACACACACACATGAACATACTTCCCTACATGCTTCGCGGTTGAAGCAAACATCAACACACCATGAACATACAGTAGTCATCAAGCTTAACACGAGCGCTTCAATGCGCGATCTGGACCACTTCGGCTGATGCCAGCCGCAAAGTGCTGTTGCCGAGATAATATACCTTGCTGTGCTTGGGTAGTATGTCGGCATTCATGGGTAACATCTCCGCAGCAGAACTTCCAAATCTACGCAGCGCTAGCGTCAATCAAACTGTTTCAGGACACGATGTGGAACTTTCGTGTTAAGCTTGCATGACGACTGTTGCACAAAAAACATACTTCACTACATGCTTCGCTCCTCCATAGTCTTTACTTAATGGACAGTTATAGTTTACCGTTGACGTGATAGCGTTGGTTAAGGGAATAGCATTACAATCCCCCAAATGCTATTTGTGGACAGCGATTTATATTTTAGTGGGATAGCGTTTACGTAGTTTACGTGCCTCTGTTTGAAGGTGGCGCCACCTATCAGAGGATGAATAACCTAAAGAAGAGTGAAATTTAAAAGAAAACAAGAATGTTTGCCTGTGTCACTGCACGAATCAATCTTACCAGTTTTCTTAGCAATAATACATGAAAATAAATATGAACCACGCACCAAACGCGAAAACACTTGTGTTGCCGATTTGTTTTCATCGATGTTCTAGTTAGGCCTAGAGACGTTCGAAATGGGAAGCTACATATCGAAAACTAGGCTAACTTATCTGTTATATTCGGTCATCGAAGCTAACTGAAGGGAAGCAAAGCCATTTTAAACAGTCGTTTGCTGCGCACAAAGTGAATCTCTCAACAGCGACGCCAAAATTACTTCGAGGCGGGCGTCCGAAACCGCCACCTTGTTTTATGTGCGCTACGTAAACCACGCTAACGTTCAATCTGAAAAAATAGCGTGCGTACGGTGAGCGGTATGTGCTTCACGTATGTTACATGCGCATGAGCACTTCGATCACGCTATGCCGGCAAGCCCGCAATCCCGCTAAGCCCGGTAAACTATAACTGGGGAGTTGTAGACTAACGTTTGCAGGTGTTGCGGGGGTTGCTTTAGTTGCGGGTGCCACATTAGTTTTAGAATAGCGTTTTCTCTCCCTAGGGAAACGTCTAGGGACTTTCGCCTGCAGCTGCAAACCCAAATGCACGGAAGCTACACGCAACGCTCCGCGGCCCTCGCGATCACCGCACGCTATTTCGGATTTTCTGCGGGCGGGCTGCGTTACGACGCATGCGCAGTGACAGCGACCGCGCCGCAAGGGCTCGCGGTACGCTATTCTAAAATAGAGTTACTGTATATGCTACCATTAGGTATATGCTACCTAAAGGTAGCGTATACAGTAACTCTTTTCTAAATAAGTACAGTAACTAATAAAATACAGTAACTCTTTTCTTGTGCCCTTCAGGTCTCGTTTGGATTGTTTCAAATTCTCTTTTTTTCTGCGTGTGGTGGAAATTTGGAACAAGCTTGATGGTGCATTGCGTAGACTGAACACTGTAGAGTTCGGGAAAAATTTTATGTGTTAGTCACATAAAATTTGTGCGCACTCTTGTTTGTTTCTGTGCTTTCGTTGATTTTTCTGTACCCGCTCCTGCACTTGTCCCAGGCATGAGACAGCAGTACTTGTAAATAAATAATAAATAATAAATAAATAAATAAATAAATAAATAAATAAATAAATAAATCTTTGTACTGTCAAATACTGCGCCCAACTTTCAACGTTGCTGCCTACGCTGGCTTTCTCCTCGAAAGCCTAGGCGAAAACAGGGTATATAAGGCGCGTCGTCGGTCCGATCATGAATCTGACGCCGGCACGCACGCTCCCGTGCCCGAAGCCGGTTTTTTCTGTCTCCGCCAGCGCGCATTATTGCGTGTGTGTGTGTGTCCGCGTACACAGCAGGTGCGTGCTCGTCATCTCCGCCGGCTGCGTCTATCGCGGTGGTGATCTCGGTTCTCCACCCTTGAACGCCCGCGCTGACTCACCGGACGCTGCGACGGAGCGCCGAAGCGAAAAACAATTTCTGCGAAGGTTTTGGAATGACTCGGTTGCAGCGGCCCGTGTACGCTTCAACCGACAGCCACCGAACCGCAATGCGAGCATCGTGTTAGCTTATCTGTTTGTCATGTTTCTATGAAAGCGCGCTATATCTGCATGCGTGCTCAGGTACCTACGCGCGTGTTTAACTTTATTACGAAGTACTGCCGGAGAGCAAGCAGAGGGCAGGATATAGGAGTCGCTGACGCGGACTGTTCTACGCGAGCTAACTCAAGACACGCGGACGCGGACACTGTAAGGTAAAAACCAAACACCGTGTGTGTTCGTGTCTGCAGTCTTAGTTTACTTCGGTATGACTGCAACCCAGCTGTATACCACGAGATTCCGTCATTTAGGTGTGTATAGGTGTAAGAGCATGAAGGTGTAGGAATTCTACTGCAAATCACGCTCATTTAGAACGTCTTTTTTTTAAATTAATACTGTTACGCTGAAGTGGCAACGTGTGAAGGGAGGAAGAGGAGAACGAAGTGGTATACTGTTTGGAAGCAGCTCGCGGTGTCAGGCGCGGCTATACCCTTCGCCATTCGTTCTTCAATAAACACGCCCCATCGTCCACCAAAACTGTTACGATGGGGCGCGTTTATTGAAGAACGAATGGCCAAGGGTAGCCGCGCCGACACCGCGAGCTGCTTCCAAACAGTATACCACTTCGTTCTCCTCTTCCTCCCTTCACACGTTGCAGCTTCGGCGTAACAATACAATACACAGCTATAGATTCGATCAGACGAGTCTGTCATAATCGTATCGTCTAACGTCATTTCCTTCTTTGGTAAAATAATTCTTCTAGTATTGAAGTTAGCGATCAGTCATCGAAGTGAGTTCACTAGCGAGTTTTGCGTTTGGAAATGTATGCTGAGCATGTAAATCACTTGTGTGTGTATATAACAACGTCCAAGATGTCTCTGTCGAGGTATATGCGCATGTGCTCTGGCTGACGCGCGAGTATACATGTAATCATACACGAGCGTAGGTAAGGTTTATGCACGGTAGATATGATGCTCTGCTGCCTACATGAAAGCCACGGGTGCGATCCCGACTTCCGCGGTCGCATTTCGATGGAGAGGAAAAGGTAGAAGTCTTCTTTTTCTTTTATTATACTGGCAATTTCAGTGCGCGTTAAACAACTCCATGTGGTCGAAACTTCCGGATCCCTCGACTACGGCGTCTCTCGTAAACATATCGCGGTGGTAAGAACGTAAAACCCCGCATTTTATTATTAAGCTTTACGGCATGTTTCTATTTCAAGTGCACGCTAAAATTTTCTAGCACAACATAGCCCTCTGTACTGCGTGTCTGTAGTTGTATACCATGGCTTCCGTGAAATCTGCTCGCTACGTTGGTATAGTTGGTATAGGCCCACCTGAGTATACTTAGATTTAGGTGTACGTTAAAGAACCCCCCATTTAGTCAAACTTTCCGGAGCCCTCAGCTACGGCACCCCACACATGATGACATCGTAGTCTTCGGACGTGAAACTCCGACTGTTATTATTCTGCGAATTCTGCGTGCGTGGCATCACGGCCACTCGTGTGGTATGTCGTGTTGTTCAGTGGTCTTCACTCGACCCGTCACCTCGGGGCTCTTGAACAACAGTGTAAAAGACAGGGTGAAGGAAGAGAAGATGTGGACGACTCTGTATACCAACGAATAAAAGACACAAACTGTGTAGTTGGTGTACTTTGCGCCGTTGATAAGGCACAATGGATTTCAACGAACTCGGCCCATCTGCGATCCTGCCTGAGGGACAGGAAGCTAACGGACTATACTTGAATAGGCGGTGCGAAACACTATGCAATACCAATCAGGAATAATTTACGGAAGAGTACAGAGTATGCGTGTGAAGAGTAGAGTATTATGTGTGGCACACATCCACGCTGGGGGGTTGGCCGGGAACAGGATAGTTTTTATAATAGAATCTTAAGAGGTTAAAATGTACTATCCTAAATTCCCATGCTCGTTGAAGTGTCATGTGTTGCAGCTCCCATGGAAACTCGCGCCAGAGTTCCCTCTAGTGGTTTTACAGGAAACTCTACACGTTTGTAGCTGCTATCTGAAGGGTTGTAAAGTAAATCAATGCATGATAACGGCTGTACGAATGGATGTCACATTGCATGCAGTATTTTATAAATTAATAAAGATAAACAAAACCCATCTTTCAATAAAATTAAGATGAAAGAGGAAGAGTTTATTAAGTTACGGAAGGGCTTAGGAGCCACCCCGTAGAGCTCTTAACATTGTCGTTTGTCAAGGGAAAGAACGTCAAGACGTTAAGAGAAAGCAGATGAGATCAAGAATGGCAATGTGGGCTTGTTGGTGATGCATTTGAAAGAAATTTATGTAGCGCGAAGCGAAAAAACGGACACAGGAAGGAATAGACTGAGAGGACAGATCGCTTTGTC